CTTCAGTCTAGTTGTGGAGGACATTGCTTCACTGGCCCAAGTTGGCACCATCATTGTGCTCTTCCCGGGTGAGGCAGATCAGTTGCCGGCTTCTGGACAGCCGCTCACTGCGGCTGCTGGCTACATACGGTAGCCCATGGCAACCCACTGCCACAGGGGCTGCAGCCTACACCGTCGTCATCGCCTCACTGCAGCTCAGCTCCAGGTTGAGCTGTTGTTCAGCATCTTATCTGTGGAGGGCAGTGTCACTGGCCCTCATATGTGGGATCCGAACCGGGGCCCTCTTGCATCCCAAGCCAGTTCTTAACCATTGCGCCACTCGGCCGGCCCTATCACCATATATTTGATCCCCTTTACCCGCATCTACCACCCCTCTTCCCCCTTCCCCTCTGGTAACCACTATACTATTGTCACAGTTGTTTTTTAATTTTGGGAAATTGTTGCCAATAGTATCTTGAAGAAAAATAATTATTTTAAGACCAAAACATTACTGTTTGAGGATTTTCAAAACCTGATTAAGATGATGTCAAGATTTTATCTGCATGATCTCATTAATAATACCTATTATATTATGGTTTATGAGATTAGAACCCAGCTCTGACCTGCACTTGCTCTGTTTTCCTATGCTCATACCATCCCAAACATCGGTTTTTAATAAGGATTGATAATGTTCAGCATGAAAAAGCATGAAACATGGTAAATATTATTAGGGGCAAACATTAAGTATAAGCCTTGCTTTATGCAGCAGATATGCCCCTGAAGAATTGTGTATAGTTACTCTCTCAAAGTACAGCAATAAACTAAATTATACTTTTCCATTAAATTACAATGATTTCAAAGGTTAGTCCCATTTTTTCAAATTATGAGGCATGCCCACCACAGCCAAATTCATGGTTATGAATTGGGCAAACACTTTAAAGCCACAACAGAAAATTTAGATGAAAACTTCAGCACTATATACTCAGTCAATTATTGTGATGAATCAGTATATTTCCAAAAACTTGTGTTGCCATTGAGATTAACAAAAGATGCTTTACAAGGGGGTGCCAAAAATGTATACATATTTTAAGAGATGTTAGCTATACTCAAGCAATAGTTTGCCATAACCAGAACTGTCTGGGTGCTGATGGTAACCACTTTGCGCACCTCTTAGAGTTGCAGAAGTCAAACGTGACTTGTATTCATCTTTTGTTATTGGTATATATTGAGTATTATAATTGATTTTTCCTTTCTGAAAATGTGTATACAGGTTTTTGGCACCCTCTGTATAACTAAAAGAACTCCAAATGCTCTTCTTGAATTTTTCTGTGGGGTTCCCTGAAGATTTTTTTATATACCTTTCTCTATTTCTCCATATTATTACTAAGAATTGTTGTGCTATAGATTTACATTTTACATCCACTTTCATGTACAGTGATGGTGTACTGCTCCTATAAATCAGCACTCCCCTACTACACTCCTCCCTTCACATCTTACTATTGAGCCTTTTAGAAGAGGAATTGTATGAAGCAAAATTTTGGTGTTGATGGGCAAGTAAGATACAATTAAAACATCAAGAAATAAAACAATGCTAGATCTGGAGAAAAAAGTTTAGTATCATGGTGTGAAGGAATGATCCTTCTGTAGTGTACCATGGCATTGTTATATGAATGCTTTAATATATATTTAAAACAATGTTGTAAAGGTGGCTATCTACTTTATGTAAAGGGTAGGATTTCACATGAAAAGTTAAGATTACTCATTACCACATTTCTTCTTGTCACTTGGAATGTGTTAAGAAAAATTAAAAAAAAAAGAGGGAACCGGGCTTGTTACTCTTATTTTAGCTTTGACAATAAAAGGGAATTAAGGTGCTCAGAAGAACAGTTTCTGTGTTGGGAGTTATGACAGTACACTTTCTGTGGTTGCAGAATATTGCCAGGAAGTGAGAGATCCAGGAAAGGTACCTAGAAGTTTCATCAGTCCATTTAGGTTGGTTTTGATTACTGTAGCAAGTTTTAAGAGAAGGTATGAAATGGTGCAGGGCCTGTCAGACCTGGGAAAGACGTAGAGTCAGAGGTCTATGCTTTGAAAGTTGGACTTCCAAATTTGTGTATTTCCTTGTTTATTCTTAACATATGTGAAACCTTTTTAGAGCCAGGAAAAATAAGCAAGAAAAAAGAAATAAAGACATCCAAATTGGAAAGTATAACAACCTGTTTGCAGATGATATGATCTTATAAGTAGAAAACTCTGAAAAATCCACAAAATACCTATTAAATCTAATAAGTTAAGCAAAACTGCAGAATACAAGATCAAAAATAAAAAAATCAGTTGTATTTCCATACACTAACAAGCCACAATGGAAATCAAGAAAACAACTCAATTTACAGCATCAGAAAGAATATAATAATTAGGAATAGATTTAATCAAGAAAGTGCAAGACTTGTACACTAAGAACTACAAAATAGTGCTAAAAGCAATTAAAGAGACCTTAAATAAATGGAAAGACAGCCCATGTTCATGGATTAGAAGGCAATTTTGTTAATACAAAAATGTTTCCCAAATTTATCTATGTATTTATTGTGGTCCCTATCAAAACTCCAAATGCCTTTTTGTTTTGTAGAAGTGAACAAGCTGATCCTAAAAGTCATAAAGAATCATAAGGAACCTTGAGCAAACAAGAAAAAAGTTGGAGGACACGTACTTTATGGTGTCAAAACTTACTACAGTTCTTCAGTAATAAAAAGCATGGTACTGCCATGGAAACAGACATACAGATCAATGGTACAGAATAAAGATCCCAGGAATAAAACCAAACATCTGTGGCCCATTGATTTTTAAAGAGTGCCAAGAACAATGGAGAAATAGTCTTTTTGAGACATGGTGCTTAGACAAATGGATAGCCACATGTAAATGAATGAAGTTGGAGCCCTACTTCACAATATATCCTAAATTTAACACAAAACATATCAAAGACCTAAATGTAAGAGAGAAAACCATAGAACTCTTTATATGAGTGTTCATCTTTGTGCTCTGGGGATTGGTACCAGATTCTTAGATATGCTGCCAAAAACACCAGCAACAAAAGTCAATAAATTGAACTTAATCAAAAATCAAAACATGTGCATTAAAGGACACTATAAAGAATGAAAAGGCAACCCATGAGATATAACTTTTGCAAGTCATTATATCTGATAAGAGATTTTTCCCCAAAATATATACATGTCTTACAACTTAATACTAAAAAGACAAACCAAGTGAAAAATGGGCAAAGGGTTTGTTAGACATTTCTACAAAGAAGATATACAAATGGCCAATAAGCACAAGAGAAGATGCTCAACTTCTTGAGGAAAGTGCAAATCAAATACATTATTTTCATCATCACCAAACTCCGTGCTAGGATGGCTATAATAAAAAGACAGGCAGTAACAAGTATTGACAAGAATGTACAAAAATTAGAACCCTCATACATTGCTAGTGAGAATACAAAATACTGAAGCCACCTTGCATAACAGTCTGGAAGTACCTCAAAAAGTTAAACATATAATTAGTATATGATTCAGTGGTTCTACTCGTAGATATATATCCAGGAGAAATGAAAACATACATGCACACAAATATTGCATATGAATGTTCATACCAGCACTATTCATAATTGACAAAACATGGAAACAATTCAAATGTCTATCAACAATATAGTATATGATGCAATACATTATTCAGCCATAAAAAGAAATGAAGTAATGATACATGCTACAACATGGGTGAAACTGAAAACATTATGATCAATGAAAGAAGCCAGATACAAAATGCCAGATGCATATTGCGAGATTCCATTTATATGAAATAGTCACAATAGGCAAATCCATAGAGACAGAAAGTAAATTAGTAGTTGTCAGGGACCAGTGTGTGTGTGTGTGTGTGTGTGTGTGTGTTTGTGTGTGGCAGGGGGGTGAGGGAAGTCTGGAAATAGATAGTGGTGATGGTTGTACAACATTGTGAATATACTAAAAGCCAATGAATTGTGCACTTTAAAATGGTTAAAATGGTGAATTTTGTTATGTTAATTTTATCTCAGTGAAAAAATATTTAAATGCTTTCATGAGTATCACAATAGAAAAAATTAAGCATTATAATGTCTCATTAACTATGTTTTTGGAGATATAACAAACTGCAATCATCTTTGAAGAAAATTTTTATTAAGATAAATCCAGTAAAATTTTATGGATACATATAATCAGAGCTGCCCTTCTGAAATAGACATTTGCATTTCTTTTAAAAATGGAATTACAATTTTATTTTTTCTAAAACTAGTAATAAAGTTACATTTGGGAAAGATAATTCTAACTCTTAGCATTACATGAAAATAGTTCACCTTCTTTATAAAAGCAACCTAGAGAACCACAAGAACATTTGAGGAAACTTTTCTTTGAGGATCTTTCGACTTAATGAAATTATCACATGTAGGAGTAAAATTAAAATTGAAAATTGAATCATAACTTACACAAAATTGAAAATGTATTTTTTCTATATTCTGCTATTATAATCACAAAGTTTATAGATAAAGGTGTCATGTTAGGAACTTTGTGGCTAATGATCAGTATGAAGATATTCTGAAATTCAGTTGATGCTAAGGAAAAGCTGTGGTTATAAAATATTTGATAAAAATATTCATCTCTATTAACATTACAACATGGAGGTACATATTACCAAATTATTGAAACTATATAAGGCAGCTTTAAACAATACTCTGGGACTCTTCTTTTTGTCCAGCTTCTTTTTTGGCTACTTCTTTTTCAACTTCATCCTTATTTTCATCTTCTTTTCCATCTCTTCCATCTTTCCTATCTCCTTTTCCATTTTCTTCCTTTCCATCTTCTTCCTGTTCTCCATCTTTGTCCTCTTTTTCATCTTCTTTCTCTTTTCCATCTTTCTCCTCATTTCCACCTTCATCATCGTTTTCCTCTTTTCCATGTTCGTCCTCTTTCCCATCTTCCTCATCTTTTTCATCTTCATCCTCTTTCCCATCTTCATTATCATCTTTTCCATCCTCATCATCTTTTCTGTCTTCTCCCTGTTTTTCATCTTCTTTATCTTTTTCATCTTCAGATTCATTACCATTTTCTCCTTCCCCCTTTCCATCTTCACCCTCTTTTTCATCTCCTTTCTCTTTTGAGTCTTCTTCCTCTTTCCTGCCTTCTTTCTTTTTTCCATCTTTATCATCTGTTTCATCTTTGTCCTCTTTTTCATCTTCTCCTTTCTCTTCTTCCTTGATTTGATCTTCCCCATCTCCTTTCTGATCTTTTTCATTTTTTTCTTCTGCAGCCACTGTTTTTTTCTTTTTTCCTTCCTCTTCTTCAACATCTTCAAGTTTTTCTTCTTTTATTTCCTCAAGTTCCTTTTCAGGAGCTGGTGCCTATATGTATAGAGAAAACAAAACAAGATTGTATTTGTAAATTTAAAATTGTTTCCCCTAAATATTTAGACAGGATTACATCTGTTTTATGGAAATAATACTTTCTTTACAAAAAAAGTAATTTTCCCATGGAAAAGGCCTAATAAATATCACACCACAAGGAAAAAAATCTAAGAAATAGGATTAATTAAAATAGCTTCACACAAACATACAAACAGATATTTAGAACAATAAATTCAGGAAAACTTATTCATATAATTTCCATTATAAATATAAAGAAATAGAGGAAATACAGAATAATCACATAGTTCTATATAAGCAATTCTCAATAAGTAGCATGCATGTAAAGAAAAATGCATTCCTTGAAGAAATAATATATTATGTTTCTATAATGGTGAGATTTAGGTTTCCTTTGTAAAAAGCTACTTGAAAAGTATTTTACCATTTATCATAGGATCACTTACAAAAGATTTTCCCTATATGCACAGGTTTGGTTTGTAGATTTGGCACTATATCACATTTTCAGTGTTTTACTATAATACCTAAAAAACATGGTATCCATTAAATATGCAAAGCAATACCTATTAGAAACATTTCCATAATGACTTATTTTACAATCTGCAGGGTAGGGAAATGATCACATGATTTGGAAAAGGGATTTACAAATAATCCATGTGCTGACAAAAATAATAGAAAATTAGTCTGTATTTAATAAGAGAGTCATTATATTGGGCTGCCGGAAAATTCATGACATATTTTTTCTGTTTTTCATTGCAAAAATGCGTCATGACTTTTCCGACAACCCAATATTAGTAGTAAGTCATGATCACTGGCATTGTTCTATTAATAGCAATGCTAAGCCACTGCTCCCACTATCCATACATGTAAATCTCATATTTAAATTTTCTTTCTTCTCCCCTTACTTATATTATACTATATGCCATTGATTGAATGTTTATGTCCCTAAAAATTCATCTGATGAAACCTAATCCCCCATGTGATGGCATTTGGAGGTAGGACTTATGGGAGGTGATTAGGTTATGAGGGTAGAGCCCTCATGAATGGAATTAGTGTCCTTATAAAAGAGGCCCCAGAGAGCTCTCTGGCCCCTTCCATCATGACAGGACATAGAAGACTGTCATCTACAAATCAGGAAGTGGGTGCTCATCAGACACCAAAAATGCAGTCAATTTGATCTTGAACTTCCCAGCCTCCAGACTGTGAGAAATAATTCCTGTTGTTTATAAACCACCCAGTGTGTAGTATTTTGTTATAGCAGCCTGAACTTTCTAAGACATTATAGAACCACTACTCGTTTAATGTTTCTCAACTTTTGAAATACAAGGCAAATAAGATTTCTTTCCATTGCACTCATTGTTAAGCTTTCAAATGGACAAATCTGTTAACACTGTAAGATACCTCTATGATTGTGGCTTCTCCATTTTCAGCATTTTCATTGTATTCTTCTTTGACAATGTCTTGCTTGGTTTCAGCTGTTGTTTTGGTACTTATATCTGTGGTTTTATCCATCATATCAGTTTCTGTTTTCATTCTCTGTCCAGCAGCACAAAATAATAAAAATAAATATACAATTTAACTGGTTATTGATTAAATGTACCCAGTTGTAATAATTTATGAAAAAGCTATAAAATACCTGTATAAACTTTAAACTGACAAAATTATCACTTGCCATCCTCAGTTTCATTATAAACTGAAGCAGTATTAAAAATGAATAATGTTCCTCTAATAGAAATCAAAGAAATTTTCTTTTAGATGAGAAGCAACTTGTTAGAATGCTGAACAGTGGCTGCTCAGGGTCAATTGCCAGCATCAGGTTAGACTTTGATAAATTATCTCTCTTTGACTAGAGAAGCCAGTTTATCTCTGTCATGTCTAATAATTAGCAACAGGGTTTTACTTACTACAAAGCCTGCATTGGTAATAATTAAGAGAAATACTAGTGAGATTATCAATTTAGATATATTTGAAAGAGATTACATAGGTGATTCAATCTTTGTGTCTACAAATTTTGAAATGACCTGAATTATGATTGCCCTACCAAAAAAATTATTTGCCTAAGTATGTATGTAATAGAAAGTGTACTGGGTTAAGGGGCCAGAAAATCTGTGTTTGAATTCAGGATCTGCTACTTATTTGATATAAGGAGAAAATGATAAAATACATGTGAAATTGTTTTATAAACTGTAGAATGCAACATAGATTATGTATTTACTCTTTTAATACATGAGAAACTGAGAGCCAAGGAGGATAAAGTATTTTAAAGTCCATGATTATATAGTATCTGTTTTATTCTAGAAATATCTCCAATTTTAAAGGAAATAAACAATGTTTACTATTTTCATAACCCATAAATTAAGTATCTGATTTTCTACAATAGTGATCTTGAAATGTGAAATAGAGAAAATATAAAACGAAACTTTCTCTTTTGTTGTTACTTACTATTATTAATAAAACTTCTCTTGCCCTAGTTTTAGCAATATCTTTTAGTCAAGGATTTTACAAATATGACTATAATTTATAGTTCCCTCAACAACGAAACGATGGATTTAGATGACTCTAATGTTCCTCATAGCTTTAAACTTTTGATTTTAAGAATTTAAACAATCCTTAAAACATCAATCATACCTCAGTAAAGCAGTTAAAAGAAAGAAATAAAATTGAATTATTGTCACACATTTACACATAAATAAATATAAATAAAGGGAAAAAGCGAACTTAATATTAAGGCTATTCTATCTCTAATGTCTTCAGCCACAACATCAGAGCATAAAAGCCTATATGAAATCAACTGTGTCAATTTAAAAATAACGTATGTGACGAAGTTCCATCAAGACAGCAGAGTAGATAAACACTGTGTTTGCCTCCTCCCACGACCATCTCAAAATTATAGCTCAACTACAGAACAACTATTGAGAGTTTCCTGAAGGCTAGCAGAAAAGAAGTCCTATAACTAAGGACATACAGAAGAAGTCACAGTGAGACTGGTAGGAGGGGCAGAGATGCAGAACCAAATGGTCCCACACCCATGTGTGGCGGTTAAAAATTGGGAGGGATATCTCAGCTGTGGAGGTTCCCACTGGAGAGCAAGGAGTCCCAGCCCCACACCAGGCTCCCAAGCCCAGGGTTCCAGTGTCTGCCAGGATGAGAAGTCCCCATAACTTCTAGCTGTGAAAACCAGTGGAGATTGTGGCTGAGTGAGATGTAGGGCTGCTGGAGTCCCAGGCATTCCCCTTAAAGGGCCCAGGCACGGACTTACTCACTGATGGACTCGCTCGCTGTGAGCTCATGTTAAGGCAGCAATTCGAAAAGTGCCAGGGACTTTTGGGGAGGAACTGAATTATCCAGCTTCAGGGCGAGGGCCGGAAGGACAGCTTTCTCCCAGACAGAAGTGCTGGAAGGTACTATTTTCCCTATGTTGAGTCTTACCGTCACTCAGAGGCAGGGGCAGGTGGCTGCCATATGTAAGTCTCCATCAACCTGGCTAACACTGTTTGCCCTGCCCTGGTGATACCCTGAGGCCCCACTCACCCAACTTTTGGGCCCACCCAAGCCACTTCAAGTGGCTTTTCCATTCAGCCTATCTTGGCTCATACTATGTACTTGCCTAAAATATCTCAAAGGTTCACAAACCCCAAACAAGCAGCATCTGGCCTCTGCCCTGTGCCACTTGCTAAGCAGCCCCAACCCTGGCACAAGTGGAAGCTGATCTCGATTCACAGCTTGGACTCCCCCATGCATGTCCAAACCAGTCCAAGTGGAAACCATCTGTAGATCACTTTGTAGTTCATACTAAGTGACCCTGGGCAGGATACAGGCAGTAACTGTTCTTGGCCTGCAACAGACCCCAAGTAAAAGGCACCAGAACAAACACACCTCGTGGCCAACTTCAGACCACACCAGAGCACCACCCAATCTCTTCCAAAACTGACACATCAAAAGGGCAGATGGGCAGGCACCAGAGCCCTGCTAAAGTGAATCTTGCTCTGTAGGGTCAGTCCCTGCATAACAGCTCCTCCACTGTAGTAACAGCCAGTCCTCACAACCAATCAGCCTGAGAGTCAATTCCTCCCACTGATGTGCCAACAGCAACCAAAGCTCAACTATAAGATAAGGGTACACAAAACCCACACAAGGGACATCCGTAGAGCACCCAGCTCAGGTGATGAGGCAGATTGAACCCCTGGGCCACAGATGACACCTACTACTTAAGGACACTGTACTAAGACAAGAGACATAGTAGCCTTACCTCATATATAGAAACAAACACAGAGAGGAATCAAAAATGGGGAGACACTAAAACATGTCCCAAATAAAAGAGAACAAAGCTCCAGAAAAAGAACTAAACAAAATGGAGAAAGCAATCTACCAGATGCAGAGTTCCAAACACTAGTTATAAGGATGCACAATGATCTCAGGGAGAACATCAACAAAGTTATAGGAAACATAAAAACGGAGATAGAAAACTTAAAAAAGAACCAGTCAGAAATAAGAACACAATAACTGAAATGAAGAATACATTAAAGGGAATCAACTGTAGGTTAGATGAAGCAGAGAATCAAATCAGTAACTTAGAAGATAAGGGAGCAGAAAACACGCAATTAGAACAGCAAAATGAGAAAAAATCCAAAAAAAAAATGAGAATAGTTTAAGGGGTCTCTGGAACAACATCAAGTGCACCAACATTTGTATCATAGGGGTACCAGAAGGACAAGAGAATTGAATGAAATTCAAAACTTTTTGAAGAGCAAGTAATTGAAAATCTATTTGAAGATATACTGGTGGAAAACTTCCCTACCCTGATAAAGAAAAGAGACATACAAGCCCAGGAATGGCAGAGTCCCAAACAAGATGAATCCAAACAGGCCCATACCAAGACACTTTATAAATAAAATGATAAAGTTTAAAGACAAAGACAGAATCTTAAAAGCAGCAAGATAAAAGCAGTTAGTTACCTACAGGGGAGATCTCATAAGCCTGTCAGCTGATTTCTCAACAGAAACTGCAGGCCAGAAGGGATTGGCAGGAAATATTCAGTGATAAAAAGCAAGGACTTAACAACCACGATTACTCAACCCAGCAAAGCTATCATTTACAATCGAAGGACAGATATAGAGCTTCCCAGACAAGAAAAAAGCTAAAGGAGTTCATCACCACCAAACCAGTATTACAAGGAATCCTAGAGGAACTTCTTTAAGAAGGAAAAAATGAAAAATATGAATAATAGCAATAACTACATATCTATCAACAAAATTATTTTCAATGTAAATGGATCAAATGTCCCAATCAAAAGATAGGGTGGTAAATGCATATGAAAACAAGACCCTTACATATGCTGCCTGAAAGAGACTCACTTCAGATTGAAAGACACACACAGAATGAAAGGTATGGAATAAGATATTTCAGGCAAAAATAAATGAAAAAAATAAGAGCTGGGGTGGCAATACTTATACTAGAAAATAGACTTTCAAACAAAGGCTATAACAAGGGACAAAGAAAGACTCAGTAATGCCACTGCTGGTTATTTATCTGAAGAAACCCAAAACACTACTTGAAGGGGACATGTGCATCCATATGTTCATTGCAGCATTGTTTATAATTGCCAAGACGTGGAGACAGCCTGGGTGTCTGTCGATGGATGAACGGATAAAGAGGAGGTGGTACATATATAAAATGAAATATTGCTCGGCAATGGAAGGAAATGGGTGCTTGCCATCTGTGGAGGCATGGATGGACCTGCAGGATATTGTGCTAAATGGAATATGTCAAATAAAGACAGATTAAATGTGATTTCGGTTGCATGTAGAATCTAAAGAATAACATAAACAAATAAAACAGAAACAAACTCATAGATACAGAGAACATGTTGATGACTGCAAGATGCGAGGGTGTTTGGGCCAGTGGGTAAAAAAGGGAAACAGATTAAGAACTACAAATTTGTTGTTACAAAGTAGTCATGGGGATTTAGGGTATAGCATAAGGAATATAGTTAAAATATTGTTATAATTATGTATGGTGTCAGATGGGTACTAAATTTGTTGGGATGATAGATGGGAAGGGCTTGGGGGCAGGGTGAAAAAGGTGAAGGGACTAAGAAGTACAAATTGGTAGTTACAAAACAGTCATGGGGATGTAAAGAAAAGCATAGGGAATATAGTCAATGATATGGTAATAAGTATGTATAGCGCCAGGTGGGCACTAGACTAGTCAGGGGGATCACTTCTTAAATTATATAAATGTCTAACCACTATGCTGTACACCTGAAAAATATAAAATAATATTGATGTCAACTGTAATTGAAAAATTTTAAAAAGGAGGTTCAAATTTCCAGGTATGAAACAAGTAAGTCATGGGGATATAAGGTACAGCATAGGGAATATGGTCAATAATATAGTGATAATGTGTTATGGTGTTAGATGATTGCGGGACTTATCATAGTAATCACTTCTTTAGATATATGAATATTGAGTAACTTTGGTGTACACCTGAAACTAATATAATATTGTATGTTAGCTATATTTTAATAAAAGTCTTAAAAAAGAATACATTAAAGGGAATCAACAGTAGCTTAGATGAAGCAGAGAATCGAATCAGTGATTTGGATAAGATAGCACAAAACACCCAATCAGAACAGAAAAAAAAAAAGAATTCAAAAAAATGAGGACAGTTTAAGAGGCCTCTGGGACAACATCAAGCATACCAACAGTCACATCATTGGGGTACCACAAAGATAAGAGAGAGAGAGAGAAAGGAATTGAAAACCTAATATTTAAAGAAATAATGACGGAAAATTTCCCTAACCTAGCTTAGGAAAGAGACAAACAAGCCCAGGAAGCACTGGAAGTCCCAAACAAGATGAACCCAAACAGGCCTACACCAAGGCACATCATAATTAAAATGTCAAAGGTTAAAGACAAAGAGACAATCTTACAAGCAGCAAAGAAAGGCAGTTAGTTACTTACAAGAAGCTCCTTAAGACTATCAGTTGATTTCTCAACAGAAACTTTGCAGGCCAGAAGAGATTGGCATGAAATATTGAAAGCAATGAAAAGCAGGGACCTACAACCAAGGCTACTCTACCCAGCATAGCTATCATTTAGAATCTAAGGACAGATGAAAAACTTCCCAGACAATGAACTAACAAAACAGAAACATGCATTTTGATGGTTGCTGGATTGGGAGGCAGGTCTGGAAGGATGGGTGAAGGGAGAGGGGAATAAGAGGTACAAATTGGTATGAATACAGAATAGTCATAGGGATATAGAATATAGCACGGGGGATATACTATGTATGCTGTTAGATGAGTACTGGATTTATTGGGGTGATCACTTCATAGGTTATATAAATGTCTAATCACTGTGTTGTATATCTGAAGCTAACATAATATGGTATGTCACCTCTAATTGAAAAATTAAAAAAAATAATGCATGTGAAAGCACTCTGCAAACTATAATGTACTATCAAATGCTAGTTACTATTATTAAAAAGCATTACTTTGGTTACTACAGTTTACATGTTTTCTTTTCCCAGGAATATGGGTACTGTGAGTATATGATGTCAAAGACATTACATTTTATGGGTCTATTCAATTTAAATTTTGTTCTGTCTCTTTGTAATGAAAATTCCAAAATACAGTGAACAAATATTCCCTTCTCAAAGGGATTACATGTATCATATAGTATAATGTAATGTATTACTAACTGAACAGAAAATAAAGACAGCAAAATAATAAGCTGTGTGCTTTCCCAAAAAATATATTTTTGAAGAAAAGCAATTTTCTCTCAACATTGCATGAATATTTACCCTTGGAGTTGATGTTCTTTTGGGCTTCAACTCCTGCATAATGGACACAGGCATCTACATCACAAATCAGAAGTCATTGGGGGAAAGGGAAGAAATCATCACTGAAGAAGGATCACTAACAATGAAATTCAACCTCTTAATTATAATAAATGGGTATAGTTCAAACTGAGCACTAGGAAGAAAGCATTTCCTTGATGTGAAAGTTTTTTCTTAAAATGTTAAAAATAAGTCTTGTATTAAATGTAGTATTGTCCAGGATTACCTGACTTTTAAAATTACATTTTACAATACAGAGGCAGCTTTTTAAAAAGGCTACTTACAGCGGACAGTCTGGCTGATCTTCTCTTTGGCTATAAGGGAAAAAACATTATCAGTTAAGGGAATTATGGATACATAAAACTAGAATTATTTATATTGTAGTGAAAATATTTAGTGTAACACTACATAAACAGTGTTATTAAAGAAGTAACTATGAACTAGATTATAAAATATCATAGTAGAAATAAGTTTTGATTTTTCCCTCTTCTCGGTTCTTCATACAGCTAAGGAAAACAAAATCCCAAATTAAACTTAAATTGCTATGTTAAATGAACACAAAGGCTACTAACGAGGAGCATATTTAAAAATGAAAATATAGCCCCTTATTGTAGACAGACAAAGCACTTATTTTGCTTAAAAGGAAGAAACTCTCTCCAGATCTTAACAATCGCAATAAGGTCCTAAATTTCAAGATTAGAGTTTTCAATACCTACTATATTTCTGAGAGAGCTCACTAGCATACCATATTGGTACTCATATGGTAAAATATACTAACCAGCATTTATTTTTTAGTTGCTTATGAGTCTCAAGTTTCTAAAACGAGTGGGTGTTTTGGGAACAGATTTTAAAATGAAAGAAACTCACCTCCTGCCTCATATCACCTTGACCTGCGGCCTATACAAAAGAGAAAACCATACAGTAATAAGGTCATTTATATAAACATATAGATCAGAAAATATTGGCTATGGTTTATAGTTGCACTATAATATAACTGCTTATGACTTTTTCCTGGATTCCCGCTCAAGTAGCCGCGTTCTTCCTAGTAGCAAGCTGTCTTCTGCTGCCTACTAATGTGCAAATGTGCACCAAGGTGCAAATGCCTTCTCAAGATATAAGTTTACACAAATGATATTTAACTTCACCTTTTTTTTACATTTATCTCCTAAAAACAAACCTTTTTAAATTTTAATATCCACCTGCTGTAGCCAGTGTTACAGCCAAAAAAGTGTGGGGGCGGGCAGAATGAAGGCAAAGCTTCATGCAATTTCCCTGTTTTGCCTTATGTTTGAGATGCAACTGTATTTATTTATCTGACCCTCTCTGTCGGCTCTGTACTATACTCCCCTCCAAGTTCTGCATACAAGAACTACAACCCCCACAATGCTTTGGAAGGGGGGGGAACCTCTTTGTTACAACGTCAATGCGTTATTCTGAGGAGCGAGCGCGTTTTTAAAACTTCCCGCCACTACCTGCTACAAGGTTGCTGTCAGCTCTGTAAAATAGCAAGGAACTATTTCTTGCACAAGACTAGAAACACACAGCGGCGGGAATCTCGGGAAGGGGGATGTTTTTTAGAAACCATTGCTTTCCGTGTCAGCCTTCTAGCCTGGGAATTATCAAGCTATTGCACGATTCATACCACCGCCCTAGAGCACCAGGGAATTTTGGTCTTATTCCTATGTTCTAGAAATAGGGAAGGTGAATGGATAAATACAAATATCAAAACAATCATAAATTGGCACAGCGTTTTACAATTTTATCAAGCATGAAACAACGCTCAATTTCACTGTTAAAGGAACCTCCTCCTCCCGCAAAATAAGCACCGAGCGTGCATTTATTTCCCGTCCAAGAGGGGAGCCACGAATTTTGAAGTGAAGGTTTGCAGGAGACCTGTAGCCCTTGAATAGCTCAGATCAATTCTGCATGTCTAAAGTGGTCAAATCCATGCTATCCCAACATCAATAACAGTTTACACCTTCAGACAGAGTTTCGAGAGCCCTAGATCTCTCAGCCCTAAAGTTGCTAATTACAGCGGTGAATCTCCCCCTTCTCTAGGACAGTTTGAAATCTGCGCCGCCTAATGGCACAGGATTACCACTGCATAGCCATCTGGCATGACAAGAAGTGGAGGAGGGAAGGGGGGAAAAAAGAAAAAAAAACGGGAAGAACAAAGGCAAATATGGGAGAAAGCCATGGCTTTCGTTCCCCCAAACGGGACGGTTCCCAGAGAAAAGCCAGAGGCTGAGGAGGAAACTGGTGCCTGGAAGTGTGGTTGGGAGAAGTGTTCTCCAATAGGGTAAGCGGAGGAAGGGGGGTGGGGTAGGAAGCGACAGCACAGCGCTATGGCTGTTTGTAATTCAGCATGGAGACACCTCTTATGCGATTCTTACCCCTAAACAAAACAACTCAAAAGTGAACTACCAGTTGCGTGGGAGACCATCCCAAATCTTACACCGACCGTTCTTTGCCATTCCCTCCCCTTCCACTCAGTACATCTCAAAATCGAACTAGAAGCCAAAATGCTTTTTTAAAAAATCTCTGCCGATTAGAAAATATGTATTTCAATCGCTAATCCCCCTTCTATCTTCCCATTTCACTTACCTTTCTCTTGGGCATTGTTGCAGCTCTATAGGGGATCTTAGCAGTCAGCAGGAAAAAAGCCGAAAGCAGTCTCTGTCCGCTCGGAGAGCGACTGAGTTTTCAATGAACTAATTGCAGCACGACCTGTACTCGCCTCCCCCGTCCAAAAAAAATCCTTCGTATTGGCAACATTAAACACACCAAGACGCAACCAAACTACGCGAATGGTTACTCAGAGTGGGAGCCAGATTCGAGTGACAGGCTGTCAGGCCAATAAGGGGAGAGGACCAGCCCACGGGGCGTGGCCCACGGACTTGCCCGAAGTCCCTGTCTGTTACCGGCTCCGACCGCTGGTGGGGTGGAGGAGCACGCGGACTTTGTAGACGCAAAGCGCTCGAGCGTAAGACCAGCGAGAAAGCCAGAGTAGTCTTGATCGTTTTTTTTTTTCTTTTATGTTGTAATGACAGGCGAAAGGCCCTGTAGTTGCTTTCTTCACAGTCTCCCACATTCTCCACTTTTACTTCTTCCCCGGTTGGAGCGGTGGGAGGGAGTTCTTTTGAGACCCGGTTGAGTGCAGGCTCCCGTTTTCCCATTATACCTGTGGCAACGAACTGAGCATGAACTGAAGGGAGCATTCATTCAGAAAGTAGAAAAGAGTGAAGCAGAATTGTGGTTCTGGCATGAGGAGGGTGGCAAAATGGCCTGTCTCCCGCAAGTAGAGAGACAACAAAACTGGGAGCTGGAAGAGCAGGAGATACCTGAAGGTGGGACACCTGATAAATACAGTTATCCAACTTGGTGGGAGTCCACCAATAATAACGGAGGTCTATCCAGAGGAAAAGTGCTGATACAATGGATTTTGAATCCAAAGGTAGCATTTAGTGAAGAGACTTGAGGGAGGTTCATACATGAAAACATTTAGGACTCAAAGCCTGGACTGGAATAAGGTGATTAAGGCACTCACCTCTGGTGTAACATTTAAGGATGTGGCAAAAACTCAGGAAATTAAAATAAAACGATTGAGGTGAGTCATGCAAGTGCAGCATAGAATCCTGTCATTCTTTAAAAGTTTTATATTTTGTTCATCATGGACTTTTATGCATTAACTTACATTATTAAAATAGTGCACTAAATGCTTATCTTCATTACTGCGTTTGGGGGTGCCCCCTTCATATTTTGTGCCTAAGGAGAGTGCCTCCCTAGCCTTGCCCTAGTCCTACCCATCTTTAAGTGGCTTTCTACTCTGTAAGAGGCTTCTATCTGCCTTCCAAAGTTATTTCCTGAGACCTAAAAGTTTTGGGATTGGGGGTGGGAATTGGTAAATAAAGTATTTGAGGATAATAAAGGGTAAAACAGAGGATCCAGATCCCTGAAGTCCTTTCTCACAGTGCCTTGCTTTGGTTGTTGTAAAAGTTAATTGGGTTTAAAAGTGCTCCAATAGCCCAAATCCCTATTCTGGAAGGTATATCCAAAAAAGGAAATTAACTTTTTGAACAGTTACTTAAAGTTAGAATTTCACTTGTGTCATGTGGATTAAAATATTGGAATCATGAGTTTAAAAACTAAATATTCATAGCTCCTACAGAATACTAAAATACCCTTCAAACTAAAATACAGCCTAGCAGAAAAAACACATCATTTATACTTTTGCCTATTCTTCCCCAGCACCTACAGTGTGGAGTTAAACAGATCCAGTAGTATAAAATTGTTCGACTGCAGCTCAGTCTCCATCCCCCAACCTCATATTGCATTCTGATTCAAGTAGGTAAATCAGGATGACATTTAAATTGCTCCCTTTTGTCCACAGGTATTAGGATCATCCCTAGATGTTCTAGGTGCCTCTTTTAACCCTATGGTGAAACCATTATTGGGTGAGACTAGATATGTTTCAATCATTTTATTTTCCAAGAGTTAGAAGGTAAGCATAAAAGCAGGTTCAATATAAGGAGTGCTTCATAAAGATAAAGAGAAACATGAAGGGAATGAAAAATGGAACACTGGAACATATTCATTCAAACAAATGTCTATTTAGCATTATTTTTGAGTTGGATTTTGTTTTTGTAGAATAGCCTATAAAATGCAAAACCCTGTGGCATGAAAAGTTGCATTACATGGTTTCTGCCTTTAAGAATTTCTATAAATTTGTAGAATAGAGCAAACAGATGCACACATATTTATAATTCAAGGTTGCTTGTATCATGTAAGTGGTGCAATCTAAGTTCAATCATAAAACAGAAGGAGACTATTGTTTAGGAACTGAGACCTTTGGAGAAGACTTTTGCTGAGGAGGTGTTATTTGACTTGGCTCTTAACTGTTGCGTAGACTGTTATATTATAGCAAATGCAGAAGCAGGGAAACTTTGTACTTCTTCAGGGAACAGAATGTCTAGCCCAAGTGTATTGAAACAAATGATCATGAGGAGCCTTGGGGGGTAAAAGTTAGTTTGGAAGCAAAACAAAATGGTGCAGATCAGAAAGCTCTAAGATTCGTCTTAAAACTTGTCAGCAATTTTCTGTTTTGGTCACTTTTTCTTCTATGCAGTCTAACCTGTTGCAACTGTGATTTATGTCTTATCAGATTGAAAAAATAGCCATGCATGCATGCATAAGAAAAATTTCTGTGTGAAACATTTCTCTAATTCCTGACCCCACCCCCATGTATTTCTTTGCAACCATGAACCAGGATGGTGTTCTGTACAAACGAACCTGCTCTAGGCTCCCTGCCTTTGTTACATTTTTCCCACCGACTGCAGCCTAGTCTCTTCTATCTTCACCTAGCAAATATTTACCAAATTGTTCAGACCCCAGCCAAATATCACCTCTTTGAAAACAGCCTTTTCCAATAATTTCAGCCCCCAAACATCCTACCTTCTTGTTATACTATAGCATTTAAATTGTACCACTCATATGACACAAGCAAGCTTCATATTTTCCACTATCTCCCCAACAGCTCAGTCCTACAACTTCACAGTTACTTAAAATTTTATATACTTAGCTCCACCTGCCTATTTTCTCAGCACATTACAGTACATCCCTCCTGTAGAATTTGCTAACTTAAAAAAGTATTTTACTAAATTATTCTTAGTAAAGTTTTTATTTTTATATAATTGTCAAAGTTAGACTTATTGGTGTTTTTTTTCCCTAAAATTACATTGGCTTATTTCTCTTTTTAGATTATTTATTAATGACTGTGAAGGTTGATTGCCAGACAATCCTCCACAGTACTCTCTAATTTCCCTTGGGTATTAAGTATGCCTACTACCTCTCTCAAAACTTACAGGAGCATTAGCATTTTCATTTAGTAATCACTGGGAAGTGACACAAGATGATATGAAAAATTATAGAGGAAACACACCAACATTAACATGTTTGAAAGAGAATCCAAAAGAAAGTATTAAGATTATGTGTTTATGAGAAAAGGGACACTAAGCAGATAAGATAAAAGTGGTCTTTAGGGCCGGCCGAGTGGCTCAGTTGGTTAAGAGCTCACTCAAGAGTGCGAGCTCTGAGCAACAGGGTCGCCGGTTCGATTCCCACATGGGCCCGAGCTGAGCTGCCACTGAGCTGCCAACAGGTTGCAGAATGGCTCAGTTAAAAAAAAAAGTGGTCTTCAAATATTCTGTATTATTTGTAGATAATAATCACATATATATATGATGCATTATTAAAAATAACTCTATGTACACTGCGTGCACTGGCATCTCAAAAATACTGATTGATTATTAATAGATATTTTCTTTCCCCTATTAAATTATCTTTAACTTTGGCCTCATCCATTATAATTATTATCCTCATTATATTACCAAAAATGAAGAATATCAAAAAACTACTTATTATTTTTAGGAAATAATAATTCAAGACTTCTAATTAAAATACTGTGCTTTAAATATATTGTTGGTTGGTATTTTTAGAGGGCAAAATAAATGGCAAGTCTACAGTGAGCCAAATACAGCAATGCACTTATTTTTGAGCTTTGTTTAAGATTGTTTTGAGGAATTTGCTTAAAATGATGACAGCACTTAGCTGAAACTCTGGAAAAACTATAATCCTGAGGACTCAAAGCTTCCATATTCTATGCTTATTCACAGCAGGCCTGAGGCTAATAAAATAATTAATGAGTAATCTCTGATAGGAAAGATCTGGAAAATATTTTCCAATGGTAGAAAAAATTGGGGCTGCTTTCTAGGAGGAAAATGAATATAATACAATTTTATGTTTTTAATTGCAAAATTTCTACCTACTTTGAAAATAATAATTTGAAAGAATTATATTTTTAGGCTCTCAGACCTTAAAGCTTAGAGAAGACTATTAGAATTTGCCAAGTACTTGCCCATGTTTTCCTCTTTCTTTTGCCAGAAGAGTTTTCAAACAAAATTACAGATGTGCTTTTTCATCGGCTAAAAGTTATTTTAAAATTTCCAACTTCCAGTAGGTATCCTCATTTACTTGAGGAGTTTTAAAGTTTCTAACTTTAGCTATAGACTTCTGGTTCCTGTAAATTTACTAAATTCTATCTATTGAAGTTAATTTGTGTTTTCATTATGGTTAATATTTGTTTTTTCATAAAATATAGGAGTTTTAAAATCTTAACGTTTTTGTTATACTTTACCATCAGCCTTATCATATAGAAGCATAGCATATAAACTACTAAGATGTAGATTGGGACACTTCTACAAGTTGTATAAATACTATGGTACACTAAGACACTAGCATCTTTAGTTTAAAGCAATTATATTTTGGCTTTTTATATTTTAATTTACCTTAATGCTTCAGTCTTCTTCTATCTTCTTAGAAAGCTCACTAATGCTGGTTATGTTTATAAAAATAATTTATTAAAATAATTTAAAAGTTGATAAATGCCTCATGTTCCCTACATGAGACTAGAGCTTATTTTCAGTAAAGATAGATCAGTTTTTTTGGTGTAATCCAAAATGAGGGTTGTTTAGAAAACCTCACCTTTCATTGAGAAAATAGTGACAACCTGTCAAATAGGTTGTGTGTCAGAAACCAACATCTTCACTAATAAAAACATTCAGTTTAGCAAACTGATACCATTTTAACCACAAGCTAAAGGTAAATGCAGCATTTTTAAGATGCTCATAGAGAAATGTTTCTCTTAACTTTGCATCATGCTAGGGTTTCCCCCTGCCTTTTTGTTTTGTTTTGTTTTTGGCCTTCATCCATTCACTTAGAGCCTTACATAGCAGATTGTTTTATAATAAGCACTATATAACCCTC